TGTTGGAGTCTCACTCTGTCGACCAGGCTGGAGTGCAGTGGCACACTCACAGCCACCTCGGTGTCGACCTCCTGGGCTCCAGCGATCCTTCTGCCTCAGCCTTCCAAGTAGCTGGAACTGTAGGTGTGCACTATCACGCCCAGTTAATTTTTGATTTTTGATTGTAGAGGCAAGGTCTCACCAAGTTGCCCGGGCTGGTCTCAAACCCACGGGCTCAGGCAATCCACTTGCCTCGGCCTCCCAAAGTGCTGGGATGACAGGCTGAGCCATCGAGCCCAGCCTCAGGGAAAGTTCTGACACCCTGGCTCCTCTGTCCCCCGCCTCCTGGTGATAGCCTGGCCAGCCCTGGAGTCTACTTAGTGCCTGCTGTCGCCCCGCCGTGGGGGGCGCTCTGAGAGGCCTGGGTCTCTCTGGACGTGCAGAGTGGGTCCATGACCGGTGGGGGTGCATGGCCCCACAGCCCCTGGGAGGTGGGAGCGGGCCTCACCTCAGCCCAGGTCTGGCTGCACACGGTCACTGCGGCCACCTCCAGCTGCTGCAGGCTGGCCACGGGCAGCTCCATCACAGTCCTCAGGAAGTCCACGGTGTAGAAGAACGCAGAGAAGGCCTGTAGGGGGCACGGTCACTCCGCCGCCAGATCCTGGGTGCTCAGGGCTGCCTCCCCGCCCGCCCGTACTCACAATAAAGTTCCCGGTCACGGGGGGCTGGGGGATCCCGTCGAAGGAGCATCGAGAGAATCGGCAGGAGGAGAAACTGAAAAGTCCCAAGACCAGGTCGCGGCAGAGGGCGGGGTCACTGCTGCCCGACAGGCTGACCCTGGCGCTGCCATTGAGGGTCTGGGGCCGCTGGGCCACGGTGCATGGTGACTTGTAGACGTCCTCAAGCAGCACTTGGGCGGCATAGCCCCTCGGCCAGCAGGGGTGGAAGCCGTGGGTCTGGGGGCCCACCGGAGTGTCAGGCTGGCACCACCCCCATGCCAGGCACTGCCTGTTCCCACCCTGAGGCCCAGCCTGACAACTGTCCCCCAACACTCATATCAGCAACATCACTTTCCTTTCCTTCTTTCTGAGCTGGGGTCTCACTCTGTCGCCCAGGCTGGAGTGCAGTGGCATGATCACGGCTCACCTCAGCCTCAACCTCCAGGCCTCAAGGCGATCCTTCCACCTCAGCCTCCCAAGTAGCTGTGACTACAGGCCCATGCACTATGCAACCATGCCCAGCTTTTTTTTTTTTTTTGAGGTCTCACTACGTTCACCAGGCTGGTCCCGAACCCCTGGGCTCAAGTGATCCTCCTGTCTCGGCCTCCCAAAGTGCTGGAATTACAGGTGTGAGCCACCACATCCATCCCTGGCAATATCACTTTTGTGCTCTGGAAGAACCATGGCTCCCCACTGCCTGCTAGACAAAAACCAAACCCCTTGGCCCGGCACTCAAGGCCCTCTGAGACTCGTCCCTGGCCCTGCTTTCCTGAGCCCATCCCCAGCCACAGGGCGTCTGCTCAAGTGAGGGCCCTCTGCCCCGCCTTCCAGCCCAGCTGGGTAAGGCCTCCTCAGTGTGGCCACTGTCCAGCTCTGCTCCAGGAGGGACCGGTGCAGGTGGGTGACCGGGGGAGGGTTACCTGGAGGGCGCTGGCCAGCAGCCGCTGGAGGACTTGGTCGCGGCCGTAGCAGAGGAAGCTGTGCGTGTAGACCCGGTAGTGCTGGCCGTACAGCCGCAGCCGGACCTCGTTGGCTCGATCCTCCACTGGACCGGCTGTCTCAAATGTGATCTGAGTGGAGGCGCCCCCCAGGTCCATGGCCCCCAGCGTTCCCTTCCGCGGCCGGAACCACCGGCCCACCCAGCCGTACTGTGGAGAGTGGGCAGTGGGATCAGCCGGTGGGTGGGCGCCATGCCCCGCCCTTCAGCTGGCTCCTGAGCCCACCTTGATGAAGTTCTCTAGCAGGTAGTTGGCCGTCACCCAGCCAAACACGCCCTCGTCCTGGCCCGAGAGGATGCGGGCGCCGCGGAAGTCAAAGGGGTACTGAGCCAGTGTCCGCATCACTGCCGCGAGCACATTGGCTGAGGCCTCTGGATTGGTCAGGCTGCGAAGTGGGGGACCATGAGGGCCCTGTCCACGGCTGGCCGTGATCCTGCTGCAGGAATGCTCGGGGATCCCAGCCCCAAGCTGCTGCCGAGGGTGTGTGGGGCCTGCCATGTGCAGGGCGGTCGCAGGGACACGGGGGCAAGGCCAGGGCATGGGCACACTCACTTGAGCAGGCGCATGCCCGCTGTGGCGCCCAGGTAGAGGGGCGTGCCTGCGTGTCTCTCTGTGGGCACGTCCCGAAGCGCTTGTTCGAGGCATGCGACCAGACTCTGGCCGGCCCCGGAAGGGTTGTCTGCATAGCTGGAAATGCCCCCACCTGGAGGGAGGGGGAGAGGTGGGCCCATGCCCCGTGGGCACCCTCTGGGTGGGCCCCGGGCCAGCAGGACTGGGGGCCTTGGACTTCTGGACCAGGTGGCATGCCTTCCCAGCCTATGCTCCCAGAGACGCCCAGTTTGGAGACAAAGGGGCCTTGGTGCCACCCACAGACCGAGGCTTCTGCTTGGAGAGTGGGTGTGGGCACAGGTGCTGGGACAAAGCTCTGGGCAACATCGACCCAGCCCGGCCTCCTGGGCCTGCCTGGGTGCCCCCACCGGGCCCTCGGAGCCCCTCCTGCCGCCTCTGGGGCACAGAGGCCAGTCCTGGGCCGGGCGAGGCCCAAGCCTTCCACCTGTCACCGGAGCGTCCTTTCTAGAATGCAAACTGCCCACGGCCCCTCCCAGGCCCAGAGGGCCTCGCCTCTCTCTGTGGGGCTTCTGCCTCGTCGGCCCCACCAGCGTCCCGAAGAGGGCCTTGCGGCTTGGCCCCGCTTGGGCTGAGGCTGGAGAGGGCCCCCGAGACCCTGGCCCCTGCTGAAGCCTCACCTCGAACGTCACAGGAGCTGTGCTGACCCACAATGCCTGTGTCGTTCTCCTTGTCTGCCGGCCACTTGTAGACAAACATGGACGTGTGGGAGGAACCAGCGTCCAGGACGATGCCATACTGAGGATGGCAGCCGTCAGCCTGGGGGCGTCTGGGGCCTGGAAGGCCATGCCCCTTGGCTCCCCCAGCCGCCACCCACCCGTCAGGTGGCCACTTCAGGCTGAGGCTCAGAGAGGGCCGAGGACAGCCATAGTGACACAGCGTGGTTGGAAGGGGCGACGGCCAAGACCCCC